CATAGAAAATTTCATTTGATTTTCCTAAAGGGAAACTGTGAAAATTCCAGATTACAGAGACAAGTCGTTGCAAAAACAATAAAATAAACCACTCAATCAACTAATGACTGACCTTGTGGAGAGCAGCCGAACTGTACCACAAAGGCTCCTTGGAAACAAACTACTGACATCTAAACTTTCTGTTATGTTTGAAAGAATTGAGGTTCGAAACCATTAGTAATAGCCCATCCTCCTTTAAAATCCTGGTGCTGATGTAATCCATGAAAACGGGGTTGTTTTTGTTGTTGTACTATATGAGGGTCTGCAGTTAGGATTTAAATAGTCACAAAACCAAACAAGAGCCAGAACTAGAGAATTGTCTCTCCTTTTATTTCCCTTACCCTGTCTAAAGGTTATATTCAAATCTATCTTAAAGGACTCATCTCTCATGAATTCCCAAGTACTTCAATTCTGTCGAGATCCCAATTCTCTAGAGACTCTATTTCTAGTTTCATTTACTCATCAATTCATGGAAGATTCTCTCCAACTTTAGATCAACTTGGTCTTGAAGAGATGCTTGGATTTTGTTTCTCCATGTACTAGGCTTACCTAGGAGGGATTGTTCTTAGTAGTTGGTGTGTAGAGTGAAATGATAGGATCAATTAAGGAGTAAGCTACCAAGAATACAATTTTTGGTCAATAGACTGCCGTGTCCAATCAGCTTTAATGGCAAATCATCTATGTGGAAATTTCCATTTGTCTGATGTCCTCTTTTATTTCTCAGCTTCACATTCGGCATGAAAGATAGAAACATAATTACCAGACCCTAAACACTCCTAAAAGAAAACAAATTCCAGTAGAAAAAAGAACTCTACTTTCTATATCAGGGCCCAATCCCTGTGGGCTCACCCAGATGATCTTCCTTATCTGTTAACTGCTCTTGGAAGGACATCTATGGAACTCACCCCTGTCACCTAATTAGAGGCCTTCAATCTGGGATACACCCCGATACAGAATACATGAAGAACAAGCTCAGCATACACAAGCCTCAAGTTGCAATACTGAAAAGATTCTACCAGAAAAATATTGAACAATGCAGGAAGCATTACAAAGATGGTAGGAATCGAGACTCATTGGACCAACAATAACTCCTCCGTAGTCAATCATTTCAAAAGGTAGCAAGCACATGATCCAAAAGCAATACTGCTGAAGAAAGAAGTCCAAGGTGCAAAAAACATGCCGTTAGTCAAAAACGTGACTTCAGGAATTGATGGACAATGCCAATGTTTCAACAGGCTCATGAAGCACTTGGTCCAGTGACTTGGAGAGGTTCATATTTATACCTATTCCAGTGCATTGAAAAGGAATTGCCAGATTCAAGCTGGGCAAAAAAGAGGATTTGAAAAGAAAGTAAGGTTGCTAATGACAGATGGATTTGGGTTGAAAGAAGATAATACCAGAACAGTGTTTACTTGTGTTTATTAACTATGCAATGGCATTGAATGGTGTGGGTCCTAATAAAATATAGATAACATTGAGAAGAATGAGGATTCGAGAACACGCTATGGTGATCTTGTACAACCGATACAAGGACTGAGAGGCAGCCATTTGAAAAGAATCAGGCAATACTGAGTGGTTTGGAATCAGGAAAGTGTGGGCCAGGGTTGTATCAGTTCATCATAGTTATCCAACCTGCATGCTGATCAGATGCTGAGAAGCTGACATATGACAAAGAACATGCCGTTAGAATCGGAAGATTTATTAACAACCTGCAATATGCAGATGCATAACCTTGCTTTTTTAATAATCATTTTATGGGGGTTTGTACAACTCTGATCACAATTCATACATGCATCTATTGTGTCAAGATCATTTGTACATTTGTCTACTTCATCATTCTCAAAACATTTGCTTTCTACTTGAGCCCTTGGTATCAGCTCCTCACTTTTTCCCCTCCCTCCCCGCTCCCCACTCCCTCATGAACCCTTGATAATTTATAAATTATTATTTTGTCATATCTTACACCGTCTGATGTTACCCTTCACCCACTTCTTCACTGCCCATCCCCCAGAGAGGTTATATGTAGACCCTTGTAATCTGTTCCCCCTTTCTCCCTCACCCAACCTCCACCCTTCAGGTATCGCCATTCTCACCACTGGTCCTGA